CGGCTGTTGCCCTCAGACGGCGGCACCGCCGCCATTCCTGCTGCCGTTCAAGCCGCAGGAGCACCAGCGACTGGCATTTCTCGTAACGTGGGCGAATTACAGGGATGGGGCGGTGGTGGAGCGTAAGCCACCTGGGTCCGCGCGCAAGAGCCAGGAGGCAAGCGTTCTCAGCAACTTCCGCGTCACGCTGCTGAATCTCAAGAGGAGTGGGTGCGTGGTTCCCGCAAACTCCGTATGGAGTGGGCTTATTTTCGTCCTCTCCCGCCTTATCTCACGCGATTGTTACCTTGAACGATTTCTAGACATCATCGAGGAGGAGAACTTTGTCTCCTGCTCCTGTGGCATGCCAGTCGCCTTTATTGCGGCCCTCATGGCCGGCGCCGTGGTGGCCGCCTTCTTTGATAAGGAAAAGTACATGCGGCTGTTGTGCCAAAAGGTGGAGGTGCTGCTGGTGGATGTCCCCGGTGGGGCCTCGCCGCTGCGGCCGTACATTTATTCTCAGCCGGCGAACCACATGGAGCGCTTTGAGGGGCTGTGGCTGGGAGAAACCCCCTTCTCACCGGCGAGGAAGTTTGAGTCGAGGGTGGAAATGTTGTACGCGGCCCTGGTGGAGACGGTGCTGCGCAGCGCTGAAACGATGTGGGGCACCGAGGGCGCCTTTGCCAACGCCTGCGAATCTGCCAAGGCGCAGCGCTCCCTGCAAGACTGGCTGAGCATGTGCCGAAACTTCTTTCAAGACCTGCGAGATCGGGCGGTGGCTGAGCGGCGCCAAAGCACCTTGTCGCGTGCGTCTGCCGAGGCTGAGGCTGAGGCGCCCACAGGGGCGGACACCGCCTGCGCGGAAGAGATAACCGAGGAGGATGAGAGCCCCGTCCTGCAGCGCGTGTGTGAGCACATGTCTCTGCAGCTCCAGCAAGGCGCCGCGCCGTTGCCGGCCATCTACGCAGCCCTCTACCCAGCAGCAGCGGCCGAGGAGGCGAAGACGGCGGCGGCCGAGGAGGGGAAAACGGTCGCCCAGCGCGGCGTCAGGGACGACTTTGAGTCCGCTCAGGTCCTCTTCGCCGTCATGGCGAAGCAGGTGTGCGACGGCACCAAGCTGACCTTCTACGGCCTCTACAAGCAGGCGACCATCGGCGACGTCAACGTGTCCAAGCCGTGGATGATGGACCCCGTCGGGCGCGCCAAGTGGGACGCGTGGAGCCGGCTCCGCGGCATGAGCCCCGAGGAGGCAATGCGCCGCTACGTCGCGGAGTTCCGCACGCTGCAGGCCTCCGGCACCGGCGGCAGCGCCTGAAGCGCCCCTCCCCTCTCCCCCCTTTCCCCTTTTCCCCCAACGACGCGTGGCATCGCCGCGCACCCACCCGCGACGAATAGGAGAAAAACCGCACCAAAAAAGGGGGGAGGAGGGGAGGGGAAAGGAGCAGAGGAACACGTATATATATATCCTTTTTTTTGGCAAGGCAAACAGGGAAAGAGAGCGAAGGGAAAGGAATTTTTTTGAACGAAAAAAAAAGCCACTCTACCTCCATTACTGCACCGAATCACTGGCACATATGCAACTGGTGAACATCCTATGCTCGAAAAGGAGCAATAAGTATATGCATGTGGGTATATATACATATATACGTGTTTCTTTGTTTATCCCTTTCCATCCTGTTCGCCTGCATTGGGGCTGAGCAGACAGCTAAGCAACACAAGTTCTAAAAGTTACAGCAATGGCCGGAGAAAAGCGCCTGCGGGAGGATGAACTTCAGACGGAGCCGCTACTGCGCGAGAACCCTGACCGCTACGTGATCTTCCCCATCAAGTACCACGACATCTGGAAAAAGTACAAGGAGGCGGAGAGCAGCATCTGGACGGTGGAGGAAATCGACCTGAGCAGCGACATGGCAGACTGGGAAAAGATGAACGACGGGGAGAAGTTCTTCATCAAACACGTGCTGGCGTTTTTTGCCGCAAGCGACGGAATCGTGCTGGAGAACCTGGCGCAACGGTTTATGACGGAGGTGCAGGTGCCGGAGGTGCGCTGCTTCTACGGCTTCCAGATTTGCATCGAGAACGTCCACTCGGAGACGTACTCGGTGCTGCTCGACACGTACATCACGGACGCGGAGGAGAAGGACCGCATGCTGCACGCCATCTCCACGATTCCGTGCATCAAAAAGAAGGCGGAATGGGCCATCCGGTGGATTGGCAGCACCAGCTGTTTCGCCGAGCGCCTCATCGCCTTCGCGGCGGTGGAGGGCATCTTCTTCTCCGGCTCCTTCTGCTCGCTGTTCTGGCTGAAGAAGCGTGGCCTCATGCCCGGCCTGACCTTCAGCAACGAGCTCATCTCGCGTGACGAGGGTCTGCACACCGACTTTGCCTGCCTGCTGTACGAAAATTACATTGTGAACAAGCTGCCGAAGGAGCGCATTCTTGAGATCATCAAAAGCGCGGTGGACATCGAGCGCGAGTTCATCTGCGACGCCATCCCGGTGCGGCTGCTGGGGATGAACGCGGACCTGATGTCGACCTACATCGAATTCGTGGCGGACCGGTTGCTGGTGGCGCTTGGCAACGAGCGCCACTACATGTCGAAGAACCCGTTCGACTTCATGGAGATGATCTCGCTGCAGGGCAAAACAAACTTCTTCGAGAAGAAGGTTGGCGAGTACCAAAAGGCGGGTGTGATGAGCTCGGAGGGCACCACGAAGGTCTTTTCGCTGAACGCGGAGTTTTAACAATGGCGGGCGCGGGTGGCTCACACACCGCTGCTGCCGTGGTGTTGCACACACTAAATAGAATAACATAGACTTTTCCCCACTTTCTTGGTTTGTTTTGTTTTTGGTTTTGTTCATTTATTTTTCTTTCTTTAGTGTATTTTCTGCTGGGCGAAGGGGCGGGGACGGTGAGGAAGGGAAAGAAGGAAGGAAACTAAAATAAAAAGTAAAACCAAAAGGGTTCTGTCCGCGCGCGGGTCGGAGAGGCACTTTTGGTGCCGCCCTTCTCGGCGTGTGCACGTCACCCCCGCCAGCTTTTTTTTTCTGCTGCTGCTGCGGCTGTTGTTGTTGTTGTTGTTTCGCCAAGTCCCTCATGACGCTCCTGCGATGAGAAATTCGTATGGGACTTCGTTTGGGAGGCGGGGGCGGGGGCGGGGGGAGCCGTTGTGGCTGCTGCCGCCCTGCGCGACTCGCGGCAGTTGGAGGGAAAAAAAGAACAGGGCAGAGCAGAAGAAAACGAGAAAAGCGGGAAGGGGGAAGGGGGAAAAGAAGTAAAAGCACCGATAAAAAAAACATGCATGAAGGCAGATTAATAAAGGCAGAAAGGGGAGGGTTAAGTTGTTCTCCGTTTCTCTCTTTTTTTTTTCTCTCTCTATTTTAGATACTTTTATGGAGGAGAGGTGTGGCGTGGAGTATTATTGAGAGTAAGACGCGGAAGGGTTGGTGGCGTGCGTGCCTGTGTGTGGCTTCCAAGGCACTCTTCGCACACAGCCAGGGCACTGCCAATGGGACAGGGCGAAGCAGACGAAGTAACTTTTTATGTTTAAAGGGCAATAGCTGGGGCTAGTTGTTTCTAAGAGGTTTTGTTATTATTAAAAATCATAATGATAGTAATATAGTCAACTTTGTTTTGTTGTTGTTGTTTAAGATGCAGTTTTGTTGCGGTGCCTCATGCCGGGTGTTGTGGCTACCCGCCCATCCTTTGGCTTTCCTTTTCCCTTGCTGCGTGCTTTTTCTTACTTTGCTCTTTTTTTCCCTTCTTCCTTTTTTTTCCCCTCTTTTGCCCCGCGGCTGTTGCCCTCAGACGGCGGCACCGCCGCCATTCCTGCTGCCGTTCAAGCCGCAGGAGCACCAGCGACTGGCATTTCTCGTAACGTGGGCGAATTACAGGGATGGGGCGGTGGTGGAGCGTAAGCCACCTGGGTCCGCGCGCAAGAGCCAGGAGGCAAGCGTTCTCAGCAACTTCCGCGTCACGCTGCTGAATCTCAAGAGGAGTGGGTGCGTGGTTCCCGCAAACTCCGTATGGAGTGGGCTTATTTTCGTCCTCTCCCGCCTTATCTCACGCGATTGTTACCTTGAACGATTTCTAGACATCATCGAGGAGGAGAACTTTGTCTCCTGCTCCTGTGGCATGCCAGTCGCCTTTATTGCGGCCCTCATGGCCGGCGCCGTGGTGGCCGCCTTCTTTGATAAGGAAAAGTACATGCGGCTGTTGTGCCAAAAGGTGGAGGTGCTGCTGGTGGATGTCCCCGGTGGGGCCTC